GTCGTTGGAGGTTACGTAAGACGAATGTAGTGGGAGACTGTGTAAACACAACTTCGTAAGGTCCTTGCCAGGGGTGATGGAACTTGCTGCATGTCCCCGGTGGGCCCAAAGGGCGGTGCAGCCACACACGATCTCCGGGTTTATACACAGGTCCGTTCGTCTTGCGATCGTACACGTCCTTTTGGTGCTTGCTGGCATTTTGTAGGTTGATCTTCACTAAGCGATAGGCGTCGGCTAGGCGGCTGCGAAGATTACGGATGTATACTACATGATCTTGGACCTCGCATGGTAACAGCGGCGCAATTCATGCCTAAAAAGTAGGGTCGCCGGTGAAAATCCTGTAGCTCCGTGCACTGATGAGCGGTAAGCTAACAGACATTGTGGTATCACGTCATCCCAACATTCCGTCGACGACTTATTGATAAACGATTGAAGGAGAGCTTTGCTAGTCCTGTTGGTCCTTTCCACTAAGCCGTTACCTTCTGGATGATATGCGGTATTGTGTGTTTTTCGGATTCCCAATAATCGATATACCTGGGCGACGAGATGACCTTCAAAAGCTGAACCTTGGTCAGAATGGAGTGAGAGGGGAGCGCCGTACCGGGATACCCAATGATCAGTGAAAGCCCGAGTGACTGTGAGGGCATCTTGTTGTGGTATAGGCACAGCTTCACACCATTTGCTGAAATAGTCTACCATAACCAGTAAATAACGGTTTCCGTTCTTTGACGTTGTGAGTGGCCCCATAATATCGATGCCAACTCGCTGATGCGGACCTTCTGTCGTCATTGGAACAAAGGGTGCGCGGGGTGTTTGTCGGGGTGACTTAATAACATAGCACGTGCTACAATTTCTGCAGAATTCTTCAACGTCTTCGTGGATGGATGGCCACCAAAACCTTCGGCAGATAGCATGTTTAGTCTTCCGTTTTCTTGAGTGCCCCAGTTCTCGGTGTATCTGCTCCATAATATTCTGAACTTGTATGCGTGGTACTATCAATAATGGTTGTTTTGATTCACTGACTATAAATAGTGTGTCTTCATACAATCTTAGACTGCCCCACTTGGCACAAAGGAGGCGCGTCGCCAAGGAATGATCCTTTAACTCTGTCATAGATGGTTTATTATTGCCGTGTAGTTGCCTCTGATAAATAAATCGCAGATCTGGGTCTGCTGCTTGAAGAGACGGCCAGTCGATCTCGGGGGCTGTGCTAAGGACGGCACTAATGGTATCAGGAGAATAAGGTATACGAGATAGAGAATCAGCGTTTGTGTGTCGGCTTCTGGGTCGGTATTCACAGGTAAAATCAAACTCCTGCAATCTCTCCTGCCAGCGCGCTACCTGACCTTCTGGTTCACGGAACGAACGAAGCCACTGTAGTGCACGGTGGTCTGTGCGTACACGAAAGGATCGCTCTAAGAGATAGTGAAGAAAATGTTGCAAAAATTTTACCAAAGCCAGCATCTCTCGGCGCGTCGTAGAATACCTTGTGTCCCTCTTATCTAACCGCCGACTAGCGTACGCAGTGACCCGCTCCTGTCTATCTAGTGCTATTTGAGACAGGACTGCTCCAATAGCTGATGAACTAGCATCTGTATCGAGTATAAACTCACCCGCTTTAGCAGAAGTGTCCGGAAAAGCTAGTATGAGTGGAGCAGCAAGACACGACTTCAAAGTGCTAAATGCTTGTTGACATTCTGTGGTCCACAAAAATGTTCGTCCTTTGTGCGTCAGGCGATGTAGAGGTGCTGCCAGGGATGCGAAATCGCGCAGGAAACGTCAATAATAAGAAGCGAGTCCCAGGAAGCTGCGAACATCCTCGGCAGATTTCGGTTGTGGTCAGTTAATAATGGCGCTCGTTTTTCCCTGATCTGTTGCTACTCCATCTTCTGTAATGCGATGCCCTAAAAAGAGCACTTCTTTTTGCAATAGTCGACATTTAGATGGTTTAACTTTTAGGTTATGCTGCTTAATTCGTTGTAGGACTGCCTTCAAATTGGCATTATGCTGTTCCGGCGTTCTGCCATACACAATAATATCGTCAAGGTAAATTAAACACTGGTGTGGTACGAGACCGTATAGAACTGTCTGCATTAATCGTTGGAAAGTGGCTGGGGTATTAGTTAGCCCAAACGGCATCACTTGAAATTCATATAGACCATTGGGTACTGTGAATGCAGTCTTTTTTCTATCTTGTGGTCGAACTTCCACTTGCCAAAACCCTGATGCTAAGTCTAAAGTCGAGAACCAACGAGCGCCTTTCATGGCATCTAATGTAGCGTCTATACGTGGAAGTGGGAAAGAATCACGTTTAGTTATAGCGTTAAGGCGGCGGTAGTCTACGCATAGTCGTCGGGAAGAGTCTTTCTTTTTCACTAAAACGATAGGCGATGCCCATGGTGATGAAGATGGTATAATGATCTTTTTCTCTAGCATATCTTTTATCATTGATTCTAATTGAGGCTGGTAATGTACTGGTACTCGGCGAGGTGGTTGACGTAATGGCATGTGATCACCTGTGAGGATGGAGTGCTGTACAGTGGTCGTCCGATTTCCAGAGATATTCTCAGAGAAAATGGAACTAAATTGTTGGAGTACATCAGTGGTTGCTCGACGGTCTTTTTCACTTATTATTTTATTATTCTGTACCTGACGTACAATTTCTGAAATTCCCACCTGGGCTACGGACTTAGTTGGTATTTCATGGTGTTGTATTTTCACGACAACACCAATATTCGCTTCTGACTTATTCATGTGTATAGAGACCTGATATTTTAACATGAAGTCGACCCCGAGAATCATGTCCCAAGTCAGTGTGGGGCAACCCAGAATTCATGTTGAAAAGGCTTCTTGTCTACCGTTAGCTCTAACCCTATCTTAGAACATGCTTTCAAGGGTTCTCCGCTCGCGGTAATTAATGTAGAAGAGCATTGTTTTCGCTGAATGCTGTGGTTAAGTTTCTGTAAGAGGTCTTCCTTGATCAAGGATACTGAAGCTCCTGTATCTAATAGTATATTAATCTCAGTACGTTGCACTCTACCCCTAATAGTAACAGGGCACAAATGTTTAGCATAGCAAGACGATATACGCAAACGACACTGCTTACCTCTGTTTTTCACGCGGTTATGCCCGCATTTCTTGGCATTTTTGCCGAAACGTCTGCAGTAGAAGCATTCTGTTTGCTGGTCTCGATAGTTGTCCCTTGACGACCGTCCGTTCCATGCGGAAGTCGGCTGTCCTCGTCTACTATTCCGGTCAGGGAACTCTCTAATAGCCGTGGCACTTTGAAAGCTATCTTGTCGATTAGGTTCGGTGGCTTCATCGATAGTCATCACGGTTGGTCGATAGGTCGCCAATGAAACAGACAGTCTTTCAGCAGTCAAAAATCGAAGTGCCGTTCGTTTCAAGTCGGCTGTGTCAGCCGGTGGCACTCGAAGTAGATGTTCTCGCACTGCACCTGGCAGCAGTCCTTCAATAAAACGGGAGCGTGTAATTTCTTCTCGCCCCAAGATGTCCAGGCTACTTGCAGGCAGGAGCAATCTGAAACACATCACAACAGTCAGGACTGGCAGATGCCACTCAGGTGAGAACACGGCGTGCGAGCACAACAGAGATATATTAGAAATCGAATTACGCGGTGTTTGTACAAAAAGAGAAGTCTATCACAAAATAGTTTTACTCATCATCCAGCAGGTTTAGTTTGCGCAAGCTTTGTTCTTCTTCTTCTTCTTCTAATACGTTCACTTTCTGTTGTCCTGCAATAAGGAAAACAAACTTGCATTAGTAAAGTTACACGTAATGATTTTTGATACTGTTACTCCGTTTGAAAATGTAGCCTTTATAAATGTTCTGTTATTTGGATAATAAAAATATGTTACTCCGATAGCTGTCAGCACGATCATCATGAGGCCATCTGAAGATAGATTTGATTATAAAATGTCAAAGTTCTATTCATATTGAATGAAGCAATAAGTTAAATGTTTTTCTGTCTCACAATCCAAGGACAAACGCGCGCTATTTAAAGAGGACAGTGGTATTTTTCCTGGCTGAGTAAATTTCATTGTTTTGATCGTTTATTACGTATCAAGACTACTGTTTTTCACTTTAATTGAATTTATTTCAGTTAAAGTATTCGACTAAAGTATCGTTTTTACTGTTTTGTCGTTGGTACTCTTTAGTACCTCTTTTTCAACTGTATCTGTTAGTACTTTTGGTCCTAGCAATCTACAGCTCTTCACTTTTTTTGGTCATTGAGAATTTCTTTGTTTCTGGGTATCATCGCATATTGAAAAAACCCCTCCTAAATGACCCGACAGCTTAAAAAAAGCAGTTGCCAACGTCCGGGTTGTCGTTATCCTGTTGAAAGCGGCATGCAGTGCGACGAGTGTAAAGGCTGGTACCACGAAGTTTGCACGAACTAAACGCCTGCTGCTTTCAAACGGTTCAGTAAGAAGGGTTGTGTGTGGCTTTGTCAACAGTGCTGCTCGGATGCAAACAGCTTGTTAACCGAGGCCATCTCACTGGTTGATGCTGCAAAGAAGTGTCTTAACAAGCATAGTCGGAACGCGTCAAACAGCACTCGATCTGTTGACACGCAAATCAGTGTGAAAGAAACTAAGGTGAGTCCGGTGATAGATGACTCACGCCCGTCAAAGAAGGAAAAGCAGTCTCCAAAGGGGTCTGCCTTAAAAATAGCTCAAGAAAAGTAGGGTCTTCTGTTCCCCGTCTCCCAGATGGGATCCAACAGGAAACACCTAGGAGCCGCAATCGCAAGGCTCGATCGGTTTCAAATGGTAAACATAACACGACCCCTCAGGTCGTCGACAACCCCCCAAAACCCAACACTAGGTTTGACGCAACTGTTATTGCTTCTACCAGCACCGTTGACGAATGGGTAAAGGTTGTAAGGAAGAAAAGTATTGATATAAAAGGGAAACCTGCCCCCGTAAAAGTGGTTGAAAAATCGAAAGCTGATCATAGCAACAGATCAGCTATTTTTCATAGAATTAAGGAGAGCGATAGCTCTGAACCTAAAGCTCGTTTTGAGCATGACATTGTACTGATTAGGCAGCTGCTTAATCAACACATACCTCAAAATATGACTGGGATCACCTTGCTAAAGGTGTATAGACTAGGGAGTCTAACGGACTCGAAACCAAATCATTCCAGACTGCTTAAAGTAGTATTCGGCTCTTCAAACGAACGTGACCTAATTTTACAAAATGGACACAAATTAAAGGGTTCAGGAGTCTTTATCCGAAAGGACCTACCGTTGGCAGACCGTGTTAAAAGACGGGAAGCCGAGAAAGAACTACAACATAGGTTAGACGCTGGCGAAAAGGACCTGAAAATTGTAAATTTTCGGGTTGTAAGACTTCGACAGAGAATGATACCGAAGCCACTCTAGGTGAAGCACGAAGGCACTTAAACAGGCTTCGGATCTGTTACACCAATGCACGAAGCTTACTTAATAAGCGATCGGAACTAGGTGTACAGATTGACTCGATAAAGCCAGATATAATCGCAGTAACAGAAACCTGGCTGACACAGGCTATAGATAGTATAGAACTTGATTTCGAGGGCTTCACGTTAGTAAGGGCCGACAGAACACAAAAGCGCAAAGGAGGGGGAGTAGCCCTATTCATTAGGAATGCTATCCCATTTACCATTAACGATAGTGTATCCCATGAGAGTGGGACGTGTGAATTAGTTAGTCTTCGCTTAAAATGCAAGGGACAAGAGCTGCTGATTGGTTTGGTCTATCGCAGTCCAAGCTGTGAGGCAAATGAGATCCTGTTAAGCAGTCTCAATACTTGGTCCCAAAGTGGTCGATGTCTAATCCTAGGGGACTTTAATGCACCTATGGTAGACTGGGAAAATCTGCGAACTAAATCGTCGGAGAATTCTTTCGAGCAGGAACAAGTTGATGGGGTTATCACATGTGCTCTAGTGCAACATGTGAAAGAAGCGACAAGGTACGATCCGGACACTGAATCATCCTTATTAGATCTTATACTGACTCACTATGAGGATGATGTTGCGAACCTCCACCATATGCCACCCTTAGGTAAAAGTGACCACGCAGTTTTAACTTTTGACTTCCATATAACTGCCAGTCATGAGGACGCGTCAGTCCAGTCCAGACCCAACGTCTGGAAAGCAAACATACCAGACATCATGCACTCAGCATCGTTAATAGATTGGACAATAGACCCAGAGTCCTCCATTGAAACGGCCTGGGACGCATTTCGAAAATCATACTTAAAAGTTACCACACCTCACATCCCTTGGACTATACCAAAGGGGCCGAAAAACTCACCACCATGGTTCAGTAGGGAGGTCCGTATCCTTCTCCGTAAGAGAAGGAAAACGTGGGATAGATTTAGGTTACTGGGGACTGATGAGTCAAAATCTCAGTATCGAAAGGCTCGGAACACTTGTGCCTCGACCCTCCGTAAGTCTAGAAAATTGTACGAAGAAAAACTTGTTAAGGAATCCATAGAATGTCCTAAACGCTTGTATTCCTATATAAACCAAAGGACAAGGAGAAAAGGAAATATTCCTGCTCTATGGGGAGACAGTACTGCTTCATCATTAGTGGAGGACGACTTTGGTAAGGCTCAAGCGTTCTCGAACTACTTTAGCAACGTGTATACCATAGAAGCGCCCTTCTCGTCAGCGTATACAGATCCCCCAATACATACACTGGATAGCGTGACCATTAAAGAACTCGATGTCTTTGGTCTGCTAAATAAGCTTGACATAGGTAAATCCACGGGGCCCGATGAATTACATCCTAGGCTACTGAAGGAATTATCTAACTTCGTTGCGAACTCTTTAAGTACATGCTTTAACCTATCCGTTACGCAGGGTCGCTTACCGAAAGATTGGAAAAACGCCATAGTAAGTCCTGTCTTCAAAACAGGCACGAAACACAAACCTGAGAACTACCGCCCCGTTAGCCTAACTAGTGTGGTTGTTAAAATCTTAGAAAAGATTATTCGGAAGGAGCTGTTTAAGTATCTCGATAAAAACCGGATCCTCTCGGAGAAGCAGCATGGCTTCAGAATAGGTTATTCTTGTCTCACTAACTTATTAGTGGCTCGTAAAAGCTGGTGTGCTCTTAAGGACCAAAAGCTACCTGTAGACGTCGCCTTCATTGATTTCAGTAAAGCTTTTGATAAAGTTCCGCACAACCGGCTGTTATATAAGTTAAGACATGTCGGGATTGGAGGTAATTTATTGATGTGGATAAAAGACTTCTTAGTTGGGCGTCAACAAAGAGTAAGGGTGAACTCCAAGTTGTCTAGCTGGGAAACCGTGCTTAGTGGAGTCCCCCAGGGTACAGTTTTGGGGCCAGTGCTATTCCTCTTGTATGTAAATGACCTTCCTTGTCTCCTATCATCATCGGTCTTGCTATATGCTGACGATGTCAAGATATGGAGAACGATACGATGTAAGAGTGATAGCTTAGAACTTCAAAATGACCTGAAGAAGTTATCTGAATGGTCTCAAACATGGCAGTTGCCGATAAATACTTCCAAGTGTGTTGTGATGCATATCGGTCATCAAGGCACAGATACATACACGATGAATAACACTGAGCTACCTGTCGTCCAGACATATAATGACTTAGGAGTTATCGTTAGTCAAGACTTAAAGACTACTGCACACTGCCGTGCAATAGCCGCCAAAAGTTTTAGAACGTTATGGTCAATACGTAGGGCTTTTAGTCATGTCGACGCTAAGACGTTTTTGACTTTGTATACAGTGTTCGTTCGCCCTAAACTTGAGTACTGCATACAAGCGGCTAGCCCCTGCTTTAAAAAAGACAGTGAGCTTCTGGAAAAGGTTCAGAGAACGGCGACTAAGCTGGTTCCCGGAATAGCGAAGCTTCCGTATGAATCTCGACTGGCCAAGCTGAACCTTTTCCCGTTGTCATATCGCAGAACTAGAGGTGACTTGATTACAGTCTACAAATTGCTTAGTGATTAATTTGCACCTAACATGCCCTCATTTTTCTTGTCTTCCAAAACAGAGAATTTACGAAGACACTCCAAAAAAGTTCATAAGCCGAGAACAAATTACTTGTCAGCTGACTATCGACTTTCCCATCGAATCATCAACGAGTGGAATTCACTACCTCAGCACGTGGTTGAGGCTCCATCCGTCGACTCTTTCAAAAGAAAGTTGGATCAACTGAGAGACCACTATTGCCAGGACTAACATAGGCCATCGAGCCTCCTGTCCTTCCCAAACTGAAACTGAAATGAGCGCGAAGTCGAACGGTTCTGTATTACTTGTTGGAGCTGGTGGCATCGGGTGTGAGCTGTTGAAGAATTTAGTTTATAATGGATTCAATGACATAACAATTGTATGACACAACATTCCGTCATTGTTTGCGGTTTTTAGGTAGACCTTGATACCATCGATGTAAGCAACTTAAACAGACAATTCCTGTTCAGTAAGAAGCATGTTGGGCGTTCAAAAGCAGAAGTTTGTGGCTGATTTTAGTATAATCTCTGACTCAGACTGCCAGGGACAATGTTTTGGAATTTAAACCAACCGCTCATATTGTTGCTTATCACAAAAGTATATTCAGGTAATTATTATTATTGAAATTTCTCATTTAATACTAGCTCGTCATTCGACTCTGAATTCTTCGGAAAGTTTGCTGTTGTTTTTAACGCTTTAGATAATCTTGGTAAGTAGTGAAGGTGTTCGATTATGCTGTTTAAACTAGCATTAACTTCAAAACTTCAAATCTTTCTTGTCATGTATACACTAAATTGTTTTTTTGTTTTTTATGCCGCGTTATAGCAGCGTAGTTCCTCCTACTCTTTATAGGTAAACTGAAAAGTTTAATTTTGACGAGTGTTTGTATCGAACTTTTACATGCATCAAATAAATTGATGCATATTTGGAATACTATCAATTGTAAATAATAAACAGCCTCACTACAAATAAAAGTACTTTTACAAGACTGGCAGGACCCAGGTCCTGCACTCACACTAAGTAGTCAGCGGATAGAAGAGGTAGAGAAGTTCGTTTATCTAGGTAGCTGCATAAGTGCTGGTGGTGGCGTGAGTGATGAGATCAATGCATGTATAGTGAAAGCCAGAGCGGCTTATGCCAATCTGGGCCATCTTTGGCGCCTTCGTGATGTCAGTTTGGCTGTAAAAGGTCGAATCTACAACGCGTCAGTGAGAGCAGTTCTGCTGTATGCTTGTGAAACCTGACCTCCGAGTTAAGGATGTTAGACGACTCTGTGTGCTTGATCATCATTGTCTCCGAAGGATCACTGACGTCCAATGGAAACACCATATTAGTGATGCAGACGTTCGGCATCATGTGTTCGGGCATAATGACGATAATTCAATTAGTGTCACTATCTTGAAACATCGACTTCGGCGGTGCGGATATGATCTACAAATGTCGTTCAGAGAATTTCACGTCGTGTATAATTTACCAACGCTGGGACAGGTTGGACAATGCAGAGAGGTGATCAGTGTATGAAATGGTGTTGTGGCATGAGAAAGCTATACAGGACTGGCTTCTGTTAAACTTTCACGGCCCGGTGGTTTTAGTCCTAGAGATGGTGCAACGCAATGGCTTGAGACGTTACTAGATATGGCTCAGAATAGAAGCCTGTTACGATCCTACTGTAACTCTCTTACTTCATAAAAGTGAACGTAACTTCCTTAACTGAAAGAATTCTTTGTGTTTGTATTTTGGCTAACTGAACTGTTTTTTCCATTATTATTATTCACTCATGCACAAATTCTGTTCGTTGCTGTACTTCTTTTCATTATACACACTGCATTATCTTTCTCTTCACAACTTCATTGTTATTGCATAGTGCATATGTATTTTGGTGCCCCCTTGTACCAATATTTGTGTTCAAACAAATAAATAATGACACTGCTTTTCATCTTGGATGAAGCATGTAATGAAATGTCAGTTTACCGTTAGAGGTTAATGCAACTCGTAGTAGACGTCAATGAATCAGATTCATCTGTCGCACTTCCTATCTAAATCATGAACTTCGTTCTGTTCATTTTTTCTCCGTTTTTTAGTTTCATGCGCGTACAAATTGGTGGTTATTCTGTTGTTTCATACCACTGTTGAGAGTAATGTTTTTATTCCATTATTCCCCTTTTAATGACTTTATTCTTCATGTTTATGGAAGGTGACAAACTTGAAATACCATGTATATATTCTAGCGTTTAGACTAATGATACACCCCTGCATATTAGACAGGTAACAATATGTAGATGTGATTAATTCATTTACCAGGTACCTGGAAATGAGCCACACTTAATGTAGAGACTAATGATGCTACTCACTTACTCAAATCGAAGATGGACTGAGGTTCGAACCTTGGATTTAGTTGCTAAAATTTGGATACCTTAACTGTCAAACAGCTACACTTTAGTGAGTGATATAAATAGGGTATATTGGAAATTCAACGTATGATTTGATGAGAATGTGTTTTGATTCAACTTCAGGGAAAAGTGCTAATGACTTGAGAAAGATCTCATCAGTCAGTTTCAGGTTCACATACTCGGTTTCATGCTATAATTTGTGGAAAGGCTAGTTCAATATTCGGTTATCCATATTCAGGTAAGTTTAAGGTAGAAAGTTCCAATGGATGAGCAAAACTAAAATGCATTAACCACTAATTGTAGTACATAAGGAAAAATCAAATTATAGGGTACTGAGATTAACCAGTCAGTATTATTTTCGGAACATCTGTGTAGAGTTGTATGGTTGTTATCTAGATGCAGTAATGAAATAATTATAATTTGTCATGACGGTATTAAAACTTCATTAAATCAGTTGAAAATCAACCACAAAGACTAAAATGTGTATTGAACTACTCTAATTCATAGTATTTCAGATTAACTAGGAGTGTTTGGTATTACCTCTGTCAATGAAACGGTCATCTCTGTACTTTTTATGACAGAAGCCTGTTTATAACGTATATTTGCTTTTCTTGGTGTGCACCTAGTTACGAAAGTTTCTGTATACATATAATTAGTATGGGCCATTTTTTTGACATGTCTAAAATTGCTCACACAGTCTTGACTACCACATGTCATTCTTAATCCTGTTAATTATAATTTCTAACAGCTGACAAACAAAATTATCAGTTATTTTTTTACATATAATAACAAAGTCCAAATAGTATTATTATCTCCCATACTTTGAGTATAACTCATATCCAAGTAGCTGGGGAATGATTTGGTAAGTTCCAATTAACAACAAAAAAATGGACTTGGTCACACAGTTCAGGTTTTGTCAAATACTTTTAGCTTCAAACACACATATTGACCCCTAAGAACTATAGTTTTGAAACATGGCCGGTAAGAGTAAAGGATATTCGTAGGTTACTAGTATTCGATCATAGGTGTCTTCGAAACATTGCTCGTATATCCTGTGATCACCGACTGAGTAATGCTGTTGTTAGGAAACGGGTACTAGATAAGGATGGCAAATCAATTGATGAAGTAGTGAAACTTCATCAGTTGAAATGGCTGGGACACGTGTTACGTATGCCCAACCACCGACTGCCTCGACGTGCTATGTACAGTGGTATAGGAGTAGGTTGGAAGAAAGCTAGGAGCGGCCAGACCAAAACATGGCACAAATCCATGAAGTCACTGACAAGTGAACTGAGTCATGTTGGTAGGTGTAGACTACCTGATTGGGATCCGCGAGATGATAGAAACCGGTGGTTAGAGACCTTGAATGACATGGCTCAAAATCGTTTACAATGTCGCAGGTGCATCCACTCTTTGTGTTCTTTCAAATTCTAATCTTCTGAATTCTTATGTCCTTTTCTTTTTTCTCTTTCCAAATTTATTTCACTGGATTATACTCCTTGAATAACATGTTCAAACTGTAACGTTTCCGATTACTGTTTATACTCTTACTACCTCTACCACTACGGGATTTGAATCGACAACTGCATCTCTGTGCTAATGTGGTATGGCAACTCGAACTGATGTACGTACGTACGAAGTTCTACGTTGTTACTGACTGACTGAATTGCACCACTGACCTTAAAAACAGTTATGGTATTCGTACATTATTCAGCTAGTTTGAACCAACACTAGAAGTGTTTTTAATAAAAATCATCTAAGTCCATTGGAATAGTTTTCGTGGTGTCGCATTATTTCAGCTGGACAGCTCCAGTACTTCATCCATATACTAATTCGTAATTAAGTATTCAGGAAATTTGTAGTTTTTGCTTGTCGTTTCTTTACTATAATTAACTATTTTCAAATACTCAAATCAGATAATGTCTTAAAGTTTGTAAGCTTTAAGCTTTTACTATTTCCTTTGACTTAAGTATGATATGTAGGTTCACATAAATTACCTCTTCAATGTTCTCATATCCCGTCAGTTTATTTCGTGTTTTTTGTCCCATCCACTTTTTCCTCGTTATAATTAAAAAAAAGCTTGTAATCACTTATACGAGGACATTATCTTTGACACCATACTGATATCAAACAAGTAAAAGGGATTTTATTAAAAATGTTCTTGAAGGGGTAGCACTTAGGACTTCTTATTATTTGTTTATAGCGTCACATTCATATTCCCGTTATTAACTTCCATACAGCTGCAAGAAAACATGTGAATCGTATGTGTATATCGGCAAAGATTCCCTTAATTGAGTCCGGCACAGCTGGTTACTTGGGACAAGTCGAGCCGTTAATTCCCGTAGTTGAAACGAGTGAATCGGAGGCCACCAACACAGAAGCGAATCAAGCGACAACCTATCGTACAGGATGTTATGAATGTCAACCTCGTGGATTAGGTCAGCGTCACTATCCAGCCTGCACCATACGTAACACTCCATCTGAGCCAATTCATTGTGTTGTTTGGGCAAAGTATTTATTCAAGTGAGAATAACTTTAAATTTTCCTAAACTTACCTCTGATTTATACCGACAACTTTCTCTTAGTGGAAATAAATTAGTATTATCTGGACTAGTGTCTACCAGAAAATTATTATTCATTGCTTTCATCCAAAATGTATTCAACTAATAATTGAATCGTCAGTCTCTTCATGCCTACTTTTTAAGGTCACAAACCACTTATTCCACGTTAGAAGTAGGATGAACCGCTAGATATTGTGAAAAAGTATAGCATACTAACATATTTGGGTCAATAGTTTTACTAGTAGTACTAACAAAATTACTCAACTGTTACGAATTAGACTCTTATGTCAAGTTCTTAGATTTAAAGCAGTTCTGTGAGATAACAGTGTACTTTGCCTCAAGTTCATGTGCAGTTTATTTATTTTAACACATAGATATTGGTACAAGGAGGCACCAAATGCGCCACACAAACCTCATTTGATATGTGTGTGAGCTGTGATACTGCCAGGGTGTCCAAGCTGAGGCAGGTGGTTTTCTTAGGGAGCTACACCCGGAGCCTTCGACCTGGAGGTCTGATCCACAAGGCAGTGGAGCGTCGTAAGAAGATGCAGTCCCATGGTAGCCGGTGATCAACAATTGGTTCATACGCCATTCGTTCCTTCAGGATACTGGAGTCCATGTGCACCATTGGTTTGGAATGAAGGTTCTCCAACTCCCCTAGGTGAGCCCTCTGTGTCCACCAACCCGGTTAAAGCGCCGGACATTCGCTTTTCATCCTCTCAATTTCGTAAACTACACCGATGTTGTGAGAAGTCAGTGAGTAGGACTACCCTGGCAGAGGCTTTATACGCGTGGCCATATGAAAGCATTTGGAGAGGGAGAGCGGACTCTCCCCACTCTCGGCCGTACCAGGGCATTTGGAGGCTCAAAATCAAAGTGCTATAACAGATGTTAAAATAAGAACGAAATTTAATAATATCTCTAATAGATCCTACACCTCACTGTCACATTATAACAAGCTTTTTATGTGTACCTAGTAAAGAAGGAATTAAAAAGTCGGCTTATTTTGGGTTTGTGTTGACAATCTATTTTCATTTTGGTTAGATCTTTACAAAGTAGTGATTTATCATTAATAAATGAAAGGCTTTGTGGAGATTTTTAAGTTTCAAGTTATATTTTACCAGTTGAAAAACTTTTTAAGCATCAGGAAGCACTGGATCACTTTTACCCTAATGGTCATGTAGTTATTTTTCGCGGTTCAGTTTCTATATATACTTCCGTTTAGTATATCAGACCTATTACGTAAATGAGAAGACTGAAACGAATAGGTAGATTTTAATTAATAAACTGAATTTTAATGTAGACAAATCATGGATATTTATATAATTGTCCTCCCTACACTAAATAACAGGGTGTGGTTGCAATCTTGATTAGGTGTATAAATAGCTCTCAGTAGTGTCTAACCCACCGTTTTAATTTGACTTTTGGACCTTGGATGTACTCCCTCACTTAGGAGTCCAAAATTCGGATGACATAGCTATCCGGAGTCCGTCGTAGTCTGCCAAGTCCCCAGTTAGTGTCATCTGTTATGTAAACTGACTGCAACTTGATGATTGTTTTTATGTTTTCCGTTTGCTAGTCAGTTATTTGGTCAACCTGATGTGGATGATGAAGATATCTCTCCGGATTTCACTGATCCAAGTCTCCATAACCATGATCGTAATCAGATTAATGATGAGTTGTTGCCGGCTAAAAACGATCTTATTAATAAATCTGATGATGTGTTAAATACAGATGGTACAGCGATTGGAAATTCAGTTAAACCTAATCAAATTAGTTTAAGAGAATGGTTTCACATTCTGTGGTCTAGTAATGAAAATGACCAGTCTAATTTAGAAAATGGTAAAATTTCATCTGGTGCCATTTCACTATCTTGGAGATTATTTCATCATGATATTGTCACATTGGTTAGTATGCGTGATTTATGGGTCGACCGTCAAGATCGTCGAGAACCGAGTCCTTTGGAAAAGACTACAATGAAAGATGCATTAGGAAAATATTCAGGTGATTGGTACTTTGTTTTCATTGTGGAATTAATATTTCTTTTTCATTCGATAAAGTTTTTAGTATCCGTTTTAATCTATGTAAACATGTGTGTTGATGTCATCCAAACAGTTGAAATCCTCACTATACTACAGTAATGTTTGGAAATTTAGTGTTTAAATTTCATAAAATCTTAGAAAAAATCAATCATCACCTTCCCAGACACGTGATGTTTGATTTTCTAGGCGTAGTTTGGATTAAAGCTTTGGGTGACCAAACCAACATGTAGCATCGGTTTCTCAAGTCATTGACTTGGCCCGAGCCATGTTACTAGATGCTGCTATAGGTGTGTAGCTTGACCATCATGGTTCCTTTCGATCTAGTATCTCTTCATGCATGTTTTGCCGCTCCGTCTTTTCGAACCGTATTCCAAATACTTGGTTCTTTTGTATCACTACATTATTTGGATCTTTTGTTATTTTAGTTTCATTATGCTAATGTGCTGTAGGAACTTGAGGAAATTCACATCTATGTCAGGCTTTATGTTGATATATGTTTGGTCAGTGCAGACTACCTAGTTGAGGTCCTTACGATTAATGTAACCAGTGGTTGAGATGAGTCAATCGTGCGAATGCATCCACTCTTCGTGTTCCTCTAGATTTTTAGTTTGAAAAATATTTAATACCTTTTATCCGACGAATTGGTTCTATCTTCTCAAATAATATTGACTATGGCATTTAAAAATACAGGATATTCGTAGGTTATTAGTATTCGGCCATGGGTGTCTTCGAAACAGCGGTGGTATATTTTGGGATCGTCAAGTTGGCAGTTCTGAGGTTAAACGCAAAGTACTAAGTAAGTGTGGTCAGTCGATTGACAACATAGTGAATCTTTATTGATTGAGATGGTTAGGTAGTGTGTTGTATATGCACATCTACCGACTCTCTCGACACACAATGATTTGTGTAGGAATAAGTTATGAAAAAGCTAGGGATGGTCAGAGAAATTTCGTGGCATCAGTTCATGAAGATATCAGCTGTTTGCGTAATCTATGTATGTAGGTGTAAATTACCTGATTGAGGTCTTCTTGATCATCGTTGCCAATCATTAGAGACTTCGAGTGACATGGTTGAAATTCGTTCTCAATGTCTCAGATGCATTCACACTCTGTCTTTCTTCAAATACTAAGTTTTTCGATTCCTCATAAGTTTTATCTCACTAATTTATATTTTACTCTCGAACCGTATATTCGATGCCTAGTCTTTACTATCACCACTAATACTGTTACTATTTCTGTTACTCTAAGATTCATCATGATAATTTCATTTCGCTATGCTAAAAGGTTGTGACAACTTAAACCGATGTACACATGTGGTAGGTCCTACTTTGTAGTTATGCCCGATATAGCGTAATTCATTATTAATATCATTTTTATTCGCATAAACTGGTCTAAACTGACTTCTGTTTTTGTTCAACAAAATCTATACTTAAATCTAACCACAATATCAGATGAATTATTGGATTCAACATGTGTCAGTGAATTACGTGATCAGCGGAAACTATCTACATCGGGTTGGCTTCGTATATTCTTAAAATCAGTTGATAAACTACAGAAACAAGTAGAAGATGGTGGAGGTGACAAATACTTAGTATGGGATAAGGTAATTCATAATATTATATCCTGAATATTTAGTCGAAAAGTATTTTATTGTTGATTTAGGTTTTGTCTTCCTTGCAAACTAAGTCTCAATCAGCTAACATTTTTAAGTAAACATTTACTATCATTAACGATTACAGATTGATATGGAGTTACTTTGTAGTTGACGTACACCTGACTTTCAATAAATAGACTGCGGGTTTGCAAACTCCTCTCTTCTCACTTCGATGTAAGTAGCCAATTAGTATCATTATACCTGATGGCTTAAGTATAACTCAATGCCGTAATATATGAAATTATGTTTGGTAAATAAGTTACATTAGCAATTACGCCATAACAACACTTTGTGATGATAGAATTGTTTGTGAAGTTTTCAATAAAAACGCGTTTATCATTAAATTACCTACCTGGAGTATTACATCATAATAGTGTGTTCTGTATAAGAGATGGACGTGTAATGATAGTCGAAAAGAGCTTACTGATATTTGTCAATCATCTTTTCACAGAACAACACCTATCCAGAAATCTAACTCAGTTCAGGTTTTTTTCAGGTCTTCAGATATATGCCAGTTTTATGCTTCCTTCTAAAGTACTACGGACTTCCATATCCATAATGTCGTAATCATCATGAAAGCTCGATACAACTAAGTAAAATTTCAATTTATAGGCCTTAAGTCACATCGTATCGTTTTTGTGTGTGTGATATTTAATGATGCTAATACCTGGTTGTCTAAACTAAAGCTAACGAAGTGCGCTATAAACTTATTGCGTAAACAGTTAAAAGTCAAGCGCTTAACCAAGTAAGCCGTCGTTTTTAGCTCATCTGTTAGTTGCACAGATTTATGATCCATTCATGCATTCACCAAAATAAACACGTACCATAAAATAACTATATCAATGCAATCCGCACAGTATGCTGCATTTATGTCAACAAAAACTGATCAAAATTCCATCGTAAATTTCGAGAATAGGATAATTAAGCCGTTTACTACTATTGATATAAACATTATACCTGTTGAACAATTTCAGTTGGTTATGTGTGGACTCAATAGCTTATTGGATAACTCGTTGCATGTTTGAAACAAAAGGTACTGAATTCAATTCCCATTGTGGTCATCAGCACAGATGGAGGTATATCCAGCTGACGGGTTCCAATTCAGACCAAACACGCATCCTGGATCCCATTGATCTTCACAGTTCGTTTGTTTTAATAATGATTTACATACTCATATTACTGTTACTACTATGACTATCATTTTAAATTGTAGGATGACCCGGAAGCTATGGATTTTGTCGCTTCAGCATCAATTATTCGATCACAGTTATTTCATTTACCCGGTGCTGATCAGTTAACCAGATTTATTATAAAATCTTTAGCTGGGAATATCATACCGGCTGTAGCATCAACAAATGCCATCGTCGCTGGTCTTATGGTACTACAAGCTAGACATATTTTATCTAAAAAGTTTGAGGTAATTTTATAATCGATTCCAATATTTCGTTTTCTTGTATATGCCTCTATTATTTACGGTTAACCAGTGTTAGGGTAGTTTCAAAAAAGGCTAGGAGAGGCCAAACGAAGACAGAGCACCAGTTCATGAAGTCATTGATTGTTTATCGAAACCGTGTTGGCTAATACAGACTACCTGGTTGAGGTCTTGGTGATAGTAGCGATCAGTGGTTGGAGGCTTTGAGCGACATTGTTCAGATTTGTTCACAATGAACCAAATACATTCACTCTTTTTCTTCCTCTTGATCTTGAATTTCATTATTCCTTTATTCATACCTTTCCATTCCGTCTCTTGGAATCGTATTACGTATGTTTGATTTTTGTTATTATCATTGTTATTACAATCTTTCGATGTCTTATGCTATTCATCTTGTTATTTTCATCTCGTCATGCTAATCCTGTATAATAACTTGGTTCGATGCACATGTGTCAGGCTCCATGTTGATGGTGCTTGAATGACTAAGTTAGTAGATCATTATGAGAGTAGGATTTGGCACAAAAACATTAGTCGACCAAGTTATCACGTATAATAGTAATATGATATATATTCTGAAATTAATAATTACAGTATTCATACTAGTTTACAGACATAATTAGCTTAATATAGATAGTAATATCAAATGTAAAGGATAAATTGGGTGTTTGATTGTTTAAAGTGTTTTAGTTCAGAAATTGTTTACATAGTACATTTTTTACATGTATTACAGAAATGAAAGGTATTAGCCTAAAACTTTTAATTCTTTTTAAGTGAACATCTTTTTGGTGTATTTAGAGCCATAATGAGTTGGTTATAATCATCTACAACTGCAGCAATTCGGAAGACTCTCCCGGTCTCCCACATTGTACGAGCATCCCATGTACCTAAATAAATGGTTGCTATGGTTATCAGAAGGTGCATCGGCCTCGTGACTTCCGAAGGAACTCGGCTTTCATCATGAGGCGTCATAACTCTTCTAAATGAAGACCTTCTGACTCCCAGTGCAGAGTTTAAATGGTTTTATTAATTCTTTCTGGTTAGCGTTTTTTAGCGAGTTAGTTTTCTACGGGATGGGGTCGCTAACCCCATCATCTACAACTAGAGAAAATAAAATGGAAACAGACATATATATATATATATATATAACTAGATGAATAACACAAAAGTCAGAATAATAATAATCTAATCAATATGACACATTTATATAATAAGCTAATTATTCACAACTCCGACTTTCGTACAATAACTGAGACTGGTTCTATCCTATGCAATAAAAAGTTCAAGTTTGTGTAGCTGCTTCTCTTAGTTGAAACTTTGAAAGAACTAAGTTACGTTCAGTTTTATTTAAATTATATATCAATGAATTCTAAAATTTATTAAACTGAGAAGTCGGTACTCCGCGAAAAAACTATGTTACGGAGCATTTTATTAATTCAATGAAGATGCATTGAAAATAACGTAAACTAACTTTATACTGAATAAATCCCTTGGCCCCCAAATGTTCTGGTACGGCCGAGAGTGGGGAGAGTCCGCTCTCCCTCTCCAAATGCTCTCATATAGCCACGCGTATATATCCTCTGCCAGGGAAGTCCTACTCATTGCCTTCTCGCAACACCTGTATTGTTTTCCAAATTGAGAAGACGAAAAGCGAATGTCCGGAGCTTTAACCGGGTTGGTGGACATGATTAGTCCACCTAGGGAAGTTGGAAAACCATAATTCCAAACCAATGGTGCACATGGGCTGTGTATCCTAAAGGAACAAATGGCGTATGAATCAATCGTTGGCCACTGGCTACCATGGGACTGAATCTCCTTACGATGCTCCACTGCCTTGTGGATCAGACCTCTAGGTCGAATGCTCTGGGTGTGGCCTCCTAAGAAAACCTCCCGCTTCAGTTTGGGCATCCGAACATTATCACAGCCCACACATAAATCAAGTGGATTGTGTGGCGCATATGTATTCGGTGACCCTTTTTATCTATGTTTACATGTTCAGATAAATAAAAAATAAAAGATAGATTGAAAATAACGTAAATTAACTTTATACTGAATAAATCAACATACATCGAAAGTGATTGAATGAATTTTACTTTAAATCAATGTAAATCCAAAAAATTGGTTTCATTCTAAATGTAGCATTTGGAAGATTCAACATTTCTCAACATAGTGATGATAAGGAAGATTGAAGTTTTAGAATATGATTTGTTAGGAAGTAATGAAATATGGGTATAAAAAGTATACAATAATATTGGAACTGAGAGATCTAGGCCATGACTAAGAATCAATGACTTTATACCATTGTGGTCAATTCTGTTCTATGTCATCGAATTTCCCTGACCTCTAAACATCTTTATATCTCAGATCTTTTCAATACAACTATTTCCAGCAGTTAATGACGTAGTAGAATGATGCTATCCTCTTATTTAACCGATCCTAGCCTTTTTGAAACTAGTCAATTTCTCTACTAAGTAATTTTTCAAATTGCAGTTCTAATCTGGAAGAGTACTTTCAGAGTTATGTAAGTAGAAGAGTTAGGTGCTTTTCTACACAACTAATTTAACCCCATTTTTCCTGTTTCGAAATATGGGCAACAGAGTAATTAAACTCATGTACATTTTACTTTAAAGAAAAACCCAATCCAACAAGTAAGCGTCGTAAATACATTTTGAATAGTCTCGAAGACATTTTTCATTATCATGCTATTAGATGGAATTTCTACTGTTTGATATTTATCTTATCGTTTATTGCTCTATGTTACTAATTGCATTCTAATTAGTAGTATCTTGTTGGAGCTTTTGTCAACGATGACAGTTTTTCACCAATTTATTGATGGTGAAATAATTTTAATATATTTTATTGTACTTGTAAAGAATTGTGTTTGTTACTGTATATGCAGTATAATCTGTTGTACGTTGATTGTTATTGTGCAACATTTCGCGTTTGTTATTGTCGTGATCTAATACATCATACACTGTAATAACTAGTTTTATAATTCATTAAGTTGTTAACAATAAAAGTTTCTTTCCATCTCATTTTTATTATTTTTTTCTAGCGTATTCGTTCTGTCTACATACATCGTCGAGCAACTGGTCGACGTGGCAATCGTCGTCTTGTAGTCCCTGTTGAACCAGCACTACCGAATCCATCTTGTTTAGTATGTAGTGATTCTGTTAGAAATTCTCAACTGCATTTACTCTGTGCACCGGAATTATTAACATTGCGTATTCTACGTGATCGTATCTTGGTGCGACATTTAGGTATGCTTGCTCCAGATGTCGAGGTACCTGATCGTGGCATTATACTAATATCAAGTGAAGAAGATGAAACAGATGAAGGTTAGTTTACCTCTTCTCTCCAATACCATTTGAGTACTTGATCTAATTTATTTCTCAGTAAATTTACTACACATATGTATCCAGCTTTAAGTAATTCGCATAATTGTAGAAAAATGATTGAAGATTACTTTAGATTTACCGACATATTGGCAAATGTAAAAAAATTGTGAAATTGTAATTTACTACTGCTTAAGGACTTGAGTAATAATTTCATAGATCAAATAACTTGATATATAAAAAGTATTGTACCTGTTTATTAATTGATGATAACCTTAACCCTGGCTACTTTGGACGGGTAAAACAGTGAAAATTGAACTGATTATTACATATTCATAGATTATAGAATCAGTTAAGTGTCTATGATATTGTTTTGTTCTTTGAACAATATAGTTTAACTGTGTATGTTTCATTACCTTTCTGGTCAATATCATCATCCACCTGAGCTGTAGATCTCTGTTATTTTAAAGTCGGTGTTTATAAGGTTTATGATGACCTTGTTCAGTTAAATTACAAAAGACAGCGAATTTTGATCAGTTTTTGTTGGGGTATGTACATTATGACACTGGTTATGTTGTCATAACTTTTCAGTACATTTGGATTGTGACCAGCATTAGGATCCACATCGGAAATTCAATCCTGAACACCTATAACAGAAGAATACTAACTTTTACAAATACTCACCATACCTTTCACACATATTAGTGTCTTGTCGTTTAAGGCTGATTGAATTCTCTTAATCAAGTCACAGTGTCGCCACTTGTCTTAGTGAATCGAAATCGCATGATTGACTATGGTCAACAAGAAACCTTGAACTCAATTTCTCTGCTAGTTAGCATCCATCATCAACGTGTATCTGCGATTATGAGGAAACTGATGTTTATTGTATGGTTTGAACCGGCGTCATCAAACTTCACAATCTTAGACGTTACTAGTGAGTTATTTAATTGTGACTGATCTGTCAGTCAGTCAGTAACAACGTAGAACTTCGTACGTACGTACATCAGTTCGAGTTGCCATACCACATTAGCACAGAGATGCAGTTGTCGATCCAAATCCCGTAGTGGTAGAGGTAATAAGAGTATAAGCAGTAATCGGGAAGATTATGGTTTGGAGATCTTATTTAAAGAGTATAATTCAGTGAAATAAATTTGGAAAGAGGAAAAAAGGGACATGAAGAATTCAGAAGATTAGAATTTGAGAGAACACTGTGAGTGGATGCACCTGCGCCATTGCAAACGATTTTGAGCCATGTCATTCAGGGTCTCTAACCATCGGTTGCTACCATCTCGTGGTCCCCAACCATGTAGTCTACACCTACCAACATGACTCAGTCCACTTGTCAGTGATTTCATGGACTTGTGTGATGTTTTGATCTGGTCGTCCCTAGCTTTCTTCCAACCTACTCCTATACCACTGAACATAGCACGTCGAGGTGTGGTGTGAGCTACTTATATTGATATAAGTAGTATATAACGTGCGTTAAAAGAACGTAATGTCCGGCAGCAGAAGATGGCGAAGATCAAGAAAGGAAGAGCAAGAGCACAATGGAATTGTAAGAAAACGCATGTACAATGGAATGGGCGACAATGGATTAGTGTTTGCATCGGGAACAGTACAGTTTGATATGATTGAATGATATTTTGCAAATTGACGATTGACTTTATGGTATTCACATTTTATTGAGATAGTCTGTAATTTTTGTGCTAAATACAATCGATTGTCCCCACCCGTGTTCTTGTTCACTACATTTGGTGTCGCTGCCAACCAGGAGAGGAGTGTGCTGTTCTGCGGACGCCGTTGCGGGCTTGGGGTTGAGGTGCCAGTTGGGGCAGTCTGGTGCGGAGAGGTGGCGTCTGGTGAAGTGTCCTGGCGGGGCTGCGTTGGCTGTGGCGGGTGCTGTCGACGAAGTGGAGTGTCGGGACGCGCGGCTGCTGGGCGGACATCGGATGTAGATGGCTCAGCAGGCCGGTGGAGTGCGGGTGTCAAGCGTCCCAGGTGCCGGGTGGATGTTGGTTGTTGTTGCCCCGGCAGGTCGACAGGGCTGTGGAAGTCAGCGCGCCGCAGACTCGACATCTCGACGGAGAGCGTGGCACAGACTGCAGAGGCGGAGAATGTTGCACGGCGAGCATGAACTACCACAAGAACGACTGCTTTAAGGGGGGGACGAGTGTGGTGTGAGCTACTTATATTGATATAAGTAGTATATAACGTGCGTTAAAAGAACGTAATGTCCGGCAGCAGAAGATGGCGAAGATCAAGAAAGGAAGAGCAAGAGCACAATGGAATTGTAAGAAAACGCATGTACAATGGAATGGGCGACAATGGATTAGTGTTTGCATCGGGAACAGTACAGTTTGATATGATTGAATGATATTTTGCAAATTGACGATTGACTTTATGGTATTCACATTTTATTGAGATAGTCTGTAATTTTTGTGCTAAATACAATCGATTGTCCCCACCCGTGTTCTTGTTCACTACAGAGGTAGTCGGTCGTTGGGCATACGTAACACGTGTCCAAGCCATCTCAACTGATGAAGTTTCACTACTTCATCAATTGATTTGCCACCACATCTAACTACTTCTAAATTACTTAACAGGATTAGTGTTAATACGAGATTCTGGGTTCTACGTTAATTAATTAATTAGTTTAGTAGGTTAGATAAAACAGTACAAAATATATATATCATCACAATTTGATTAATTTATCTCGTTTTATTGATCCTATCACTGGTAATACTTTGCTAGTGTCAATTGTTTTCTTGTTTTTTTTCTTCTTATTTCAGAGACGTTAAATAAAACATTAGCTGACTTTAAATTAACACATGGAACTTGTTTACAATGTGATGATTTTCGTCAAGATTTTACCATTCAACTTATTTTATCATGTATTAGTGTAGAATTAGCTAATGCATTACCTACTGCATCTGATTCATCAAGATCAACGTCAACATTAAACTTTAATATCGATAGTCGTTTAACAGAGCAATTTAATAATGAAGAACAACAATCTGAAATATGGAGAATTGTAGGTGATATCAATTCCATTTTATCAAATTCAAAAGATAATACAGTATCAGAAAAGAATGCTGAAATAGAGAACAATGAAAATACAGGTATTAAGAGAACATATTTTTTATATATTTATGGATATTTTTGAATAAATATTTGGAAATTAGATAGGTTATCTTAATCGGGATTTGAATCGACAACTGCATCTCTGTGCTAAGGTGGTGTGGCAACTCGAACTGATGTACGTACGTACGAAGTTCTACGTTGTTACTGACTGACTGAGGTTATCTTAATGATTTGACTTTGTCGTTTAAGCAAATGGTAAAATAACATAAATCATTAGTTACAGTAAAGCTAGCAAATAGCATGAGACTTTGAAAATGGTATTGTGACTACAAATACACACACACACACAACATATTGTAACCGCTGCAATCAATGACGATATCTTCAACTGATTTATCATTGTTTCCTAAATGATTGTTACCCAGTACTAAATATTTCCATTCTTGATTTGTTAGTTGGACAGTTTTACTCAGTGTTATCATATTTCAAATTCATTATGAATGGTACTTTGTGAAAGGGTTTATAAAAAGGTGTACACAGCAATGTAAATATGCTACTTGTATAGTTAATTTCGAAAATTGTCTAGTGTATGATACTGTTGTGACTTAAAGCCCGGCTAGTTATCATGTGATTTATTCACCAATCGAAATACGACTTATTCAATCTCAGTACTAACCCAATGCCATTATTATTATTTATTATTTGAACACATAGGTATTGGTACAAGGAAGCACCAAATATATATGCGCCACACAAATCTCATTTGATATGTATGAGGGCTGTGATAGTGCCTGGGTGCCCAAACCGAAGCAGGTGGTGATCTTAAGAGGCCACATCCGGAGCATTCGACCTAGAGGTCTGATCCACAAGGCAGTGGAGCATCGTAAGGAGATTCAGTCCCATGGTAGCCAGTGGCCAACGATTGATTCATACGCCATTTGTTCCTTTAGGATACTAAAGCCCATGTGCACCATTGGTTTGGAATTATGGTTTTCCAACTTCCCTAGGTGGACTAATCATGTCCACCAACCCGGTTAAAGCTCCGGACATTCGCTTTTCGTCTTCTCAATTTGGAAAACAACACAGGTGTTGCGAGAAGGCAATGAGTAGGACTTCCCTGGCAGAGGATATATACGCGTGGCTATATGAGAGCATTTGGAGAGGGAGAGCGGACTCTCCCCACTCTCGGCCGTACCAGGGCATTTGGGGGCAACTCAGTGCCAACCGATGACGTTCGACCGGTATGAGCAGTTTATCGTCCTTATTAGTCCATTGTTCGCCTAGCCCGTCCAGTTGAGTCCAGAAACGCCAACAACAGCCTCCACTATGCGAATAAGTTATTTCAATCACACTTGTTTTAAGTACCAGCCAAACAGACCACAGGACATAAAATAGTAAATAATATTTATACATGATGAGGCTAGAAAGTGCCTATGAACGTGGGAGACTGTAATCAATAAACTGAACATAACCTAAGAACAGTAAATCGTTTAATAATAATCTATTGGTGAAAATGAAGCCTATAATAAGAGGAATATAGTTATACTTAATCTAGTTACTGAACGGTTATACAATAAAAATATTAGTCCATTAATGGTTCTCGGAAGTCGTAATTTAATCCTCACTAGGATATAACAAATCCAAGATGCACAAATCGCTCTTAATCAGTCGGTAACCGTTGTCTGTGTTTTTGGAATATACTTTATTACGTCACAGTGTAAAGTACTTTTAGAAGACTGATAGCAACCCTTACCCTAAATACTTTTCGTTTTGTCGCAGCTTAGCCTAGTCACAAAACATTAGTCTCGCGACGTGTTTGTACCCACAGTCCTGGTTTGTGCCTTCAAAACCTGACCTCTACGAATTTAAAAGACTCGATGTTTTTATTTTCGGATATCATAATCTTCGGAAGATCACTTATATTTAATGACTACACTATGTTAGTAATGCCTAACTCCGGCAACGCAGAATCGGGCATATTGAAAATCTAGATTCCATTATTATTACCGTACCTAAAAAGCCGACTCTGTTGAGTTGGAAATGTATACATGTTGTCAATAATTTGTATTTTCGATGTCCAATCTTTTCTAATACTGTTACTACCTCTACAACTCCAGGAATTTGTTTAACAACCACATCTCTCTGTGATAATGGAGTATGGGAACTTATACCGATGTACAAACGTAGCTGGTTCTACGTTATGTTTGACTTGCTGACACTTGTTGTCGCAACGGCTTCTAATCTGAATATTATCTACAAATATTTAGTGAAATAGCTTGTAAGTACATGTCCTGTGATATGCCACCGTGTAATAAGAGGGTTACAGTGAATTTAATTGGCCTATTAGATAAATAGATGATCTTATCATCTAAGAGTTTTAGATGGTTTACTCGCCTACGTACTTAACATATTGGTATCAAATAAACCAACAGGCTCAAATCATTTTTCCACATCTAGTTTCCTTAGGATTTTTGAGACAATCTATAGGATTATTAGTTTGAAATTACAATATATCAGTTAACCTAAGTGAACTTTCCATATCAACAGCTTTCACTATTTAGTTTGTATAAAAATACTCTCAACACATAGTTCTAGTTGCAGTAGGACTTTCTTAGAATTTAATGTAAACATGAATAATACACAGGGATTAATCTACGTTCTCAATTGCATCATTCTAAGGAGCTGTTCATGTTCCTTTCTTTTTTCTCTTTCCAAATTTATTTCATTGGATTATACTCCTTGAATAACATGTTCAAACCCTAATGTTTACGATTACTTTTTATACTTTCACTACCTCTACCACTATGGGATTTGAATGGACATTTGTATCTGTGTGCTAATGTGGTATGGCAACTTGAATTGATCTACGTACGTAGGTACGAAGTTCTACGTTGTTACTAATTGACTGACTAATTTTAAGGAGTATAACATCGATCTCACAGCGTCTATCTAAAATGTTTTTGACTAGATATTCTAATTTATTTTTTCTCTTTTATTCTTCTTCTTTTTCTCTTAGATAAATTTGTTCACAACAATAATGATGATACAGAGGATGATTTAATTGAAATTACTGAAGAATCTATGACTACTTTAGATCAAGATTTGGAAAATGGTGTTAATAATAATAATACTAGTATTAATAGTAATAGTAATAAACGTAAATTTCTCGATACAATCACTTGTGATGATCAAGACAATATGAATAGAATCAAAGAGAAGAAATTACGATTTGATAAAGAATTGACAACATTATCATCACCTATTATTGTACCAGTTGCTGACGACGATGATGGTGATGATGATGATTTAATCATTATTGAATGAATAAATGATTGAGATTTATCTATATTATAATAGTTATGTGGTTATATGCTTATATATATCATGGATCTTTGTATGTATTTGTGTGAGTATATGTATTGTTACTTCATATTCTGTTCTGTAAAAGGTAACCATTTTGTTAAAGGTTACATGGTTTCTGTTTTGTTTGTTTCATTCCCCCCTCTCTCTCAAGATGTTGCATTTGCATTTCATCTTTTCTACGGAAAAATAAACACATACTAGATTGATCATCCCTTTCTCCCCTGTATGTGTGTGTATGTCTAAGTTGTTCATTAAATAACCTATTAACTAACCAGTCATCAATTTTATTTTGTTATAAACTATTATTTAATATTATTCTAAATATGTTTGTACTTTTGTACCATTCAATATACATGGATAATACAAACAGTCTACAATGACATAGATTTCTTTTTAAGTTACGGTTGTTTGTTTGTTGTTGTTTTACGAGTTTGTTCCTGTATCATTGTATCATAACTCTTTAAAAGGGAGAGTGGGGTGGGTCCGCCCTCCCTTTCGAAATGCTTTCACACGGCCACGCGTATACAGTCTCTGCCAGGGAAGTCCTAATCATTGCCTTCTCATGGCGGGGGTGTTGTTTACGAAATTGAGAGGACGAAAAGCGAATGTCTGGCGCTTTAACCGGATTCCAAACCAATGGTACAAATGGGCTCCAGTATTCTGAGGGAACAAATGGCGTATGAACCAATTGTTGGTCACCGGCTACCATGGGACTGAATCTCCTCACGATGCTCCACTGCCTTGTAGGTTAGACCTTTAGGTCGAAGGCTCTGGGAGTGGCCCCCCTAAGGAAACCATCTGCTTCGGTCTGGGCACCCGGGCAGTATCACAGCCCTCACACATATCGAATGAGATTTGTGTGGCGCATATGTATTTGGTGCCTCCTTGTACCAATGTTTATGTGTTTAAATAAATAAATAAATAAAATAAACTTTAAAAGGGTATATTGTTATATATGTGAGAAAAAAAGTGTTTCCTGTCTTCAACAAACTTACAATAGTATTCTGTATGCTTATGATTGGCGTTGAAGTAGATTGCAAGAAAATTATGTTGACTAAACGTAGGTATAGTGTTAGTCGATGAAGTTACTGACCATTAAACTAATCTATGTAAGGAGGTATATACTATTTGGTAGCTGTTTGTGTAATAATCGCACCTCTGCTATTTTTTGCTAGCGTTATACATCGAATCATTCAGACGTTTGCCATTCTGCTACGTAAACTTAAACCTTCAAGTGAGTCATATTACGGTTAAACTCATGGTAATAGATAAAGATAAATTGGTTGATGAGGTAGTGAATCTTCATAAACTGAGATGGTTGACACGTGTATCATAGTGTACCCAACCACTTTTTACCTCGTTGTGCAGTACTTCTTGCCGTAAGATTAGGCTGAATGATTGCTAGCGGCGGCCAAACTAAGAAGTGGTATCAGTCTTTCAGTTGATTGTCACCTTTCCCTCAATATATTATAATTAGGAATCAAAATTAACGGCGTATTGTAAGAAGTTATAATAGTCAGTGGTGAATTGTAATGTTGAAGTAGATTAAGATCTCCAACAGAAATTTTAGAGATATAGCCTATTCAGAATATTAAGTGGTTTAGCATAATTTAAAACTTAACAATTACAGGTTTTTAGCTATTGATAGAGCGTAAGTCTAGAACATCTAATCTACAATGCTTAAATTTGAATATATAGGATCTGTTTATTCCCGAGATTACAGATGCTTATAATGGTCTTGGCACCATCGTTTGACCGGGCATTTCATTTGTCCTCTGTTCTTATTATACAGTCTCTACTGTGACCAGTATTATTAGGTATGGAAACAGTTCGCCTCTAACTATTCATTATCAAGTAGATTAACTTCTAGTTTGATGTGTTAGTGGAATCCAGGTTGTGCGTTCTGTTCTATTTGGGTTTGATCAGCTGAATGTATTTACATCCTAGTATTCATGTTTATGATTGAACTCGAATTCGGCATGTTTGGTTTCGAACGCCAAATGCATTATACACTGAACAATTGAGTTCCAACTAAAATTGATCAACATTTTTGTTAAGAATATCAACAACTCAATAACTCAATTCCTTACAAATTAAATTCAGTAGATGAATAATTTGTAATGACTTTTTTTATTATTTCAATGTTAACTATTTATACAATGATTGTTATGTTTTATTGTACAATAATCATAGTTTCTTGTAAATAGTGTTTGTAAAATCCTCTATGTACTCTTGAATCACTTCAGATGATAATCTACATTATCTAACTTATTTACATAGTAACAGATACACATACTTGTCTTCAAGCCATACTTTAAATGTGAAGGTTGCTGATATTCATTCAGTCACTCAAAACAAGGTGACTGAGGTGAAGTTTTCAAATCTTCGACTTATTAGCTAAAAGTCGAATGCCTTAATCACTAATCCATTGCTCGTTAAGCGTTGAATAATTTACTATTCACTATAGTGTTATATCCGAACGAAGATTAAATCACGAGTCACTTCCGAGGACTATTAATGGACTAATATTCTATAAATATTCTTATTGTATAACTATTCAATAATTAGATTATGTATATTTATATTCCCCTTATTATAAGCTTTGTTTTGACCTATAATTTATTATTAAACGATTTACGGTTCTTAATCTATGTTCAGTCTATTAATTATTATCCCCCTCGTTCACAGCCACTTTTTGGCTTTATTGTGTATGAATGTTATTTCGTATTTTATGGTGCATTGCGGTCTGTTTGTTTGATATATAAACCCAGTATGTCTGAAATAAATGATTCAATTCGCATAGTGGAAGCTGGTATTGGTGTTGTGATCTCAAGTGGGCGGGCTAGGCGGACGTAGGACCAATAAGGACGATAGGCTGCCCATACCGGTCGGGCGTCATTGGTTTGGCACAGTGCTAAGATTCTGTAGGTCGTATTTTGATTGGTAGATAAATCATGTGGTAAAAAGCCGAACATAAAGTCATAACATATAGGTTTTCTTTTAAGAAAAAAACTTCTGTTTATTACTTTTTGATTAACTAATTAATATCACTAGCTGTTGAAAGCTCACAATATGAATTTACTGATGAACATAATAACTTTAATCAAAGTTGAATAATGGCTAGCAGTTGAATCCAGGACCCGCGTTTCTTTGCTTAAAAAGCTTTTGATTTAAGGCTATATCGAGGCAATCCGCATAGGATTGCATATATGCCAACATGAGACTGATCAATTACATTCCTAAATAACAATGGGAAGATACAAGTAAAACAACACCTAGTGAATTTAAACTTCACCCCACTGCACAAACAGGTTGATATCAGGACTCAGTAACTAATTGGATAACGTGATGGCGTCCGAAGTGAACGTACTGGGTTCGAGTTCCGGAGGTACATCCAGTTGACGAATCCCAGATAGGATGAAACACGCGTCAAACTGGATTTCACTGCTAGCCACTATCCATCTTTGCTTAAAGAGTTTGTGACTTAAAGTAAGAAACACATATGCCAACAAGAGACTGATCAATTACAGTCATAATTAACAATTGGAAGAAACAAATAAAACAACATCAAGTGAATTGATATTAACTTCTTGTTAACTCTAAGGTATTGCACTCTTCCTCTATTCGTTTCAAACATTATTGATGATGATAAATATAACTTGATAAAAAAAATGTATAAGAAACTTACTTTTTAGATCTTATTTTCATGTTTTATTTTTTATTGAATGGATCAAAGGTTGATCATTTGGGAAAGAAACTTCCACCATTCTCTTCATCATCATCATCATCTTCATCATTGGAATTCAATAAAATTTTACAAAAATCTAAAGGTTTTGCTAATGTATTAACCGATACATATCTGGATCAATTAGTTGATAAAATCTTATCAATTCGTCAAGAATATCCAAATTTATTAAATAATGATAAATCATTGGAAACAATTCAATCAGCTCATGATAAAGTAGAAGAAACACTTCAAAAAATTCATCATTTACTTCATAAACATTATGAAGAATATGAAAATAAAGAAAATCGTTTGAATATCCTAATTGATGAATCAAGTACACATACTATTGATGTAAGTATAAAACAGTACTTACTTTCTAGCTAGCGTTTTTGTTTAGCGAGTTAGTTTTCTACAGGATGGGGTCGCTAACCCCATGCTCAACCCTCCTCCTTTACCCGGGCTTGGGACCGGCAGTAGCTTCAGAGGAGCTCCAGGTGGAGTTAAGTATACAACAGTGATTATTATTAATTTTATGGTCAATATGATTAATTAACTTTTTTAAAAAGTAACGATTGAAATTTAGGAAATACTGAATATCTATCTCGTTTCAATATGGGAGTACTCAGCAATGTGCATCCATGATCTCCATGAGGATCTAACCCCGGCTTCTTCCTAAATTTCATTGACTGTTTAACTCATATCAATCCGCGATGTTATCTATAAAATTCGATGATCTCCACAAACCCTCGTGTCATCGCTTAAATTTTGGGTGTAATAGTTTGCGTTACTACTACTCAATAGTCTAAATTATAGTAAGTGGGACGGAGGTTTGAACCTATGACTCAAAGGATGAAAATTCAACTGTTTTACTCTCTAATCTGTTATTTCAAATTCATTTCAAATGAAATGTCCAGTGTTGTCAAGAACGACAATGTAATCTTCGCAATTAAATTATTGAATTTGGAGTATACAGTAAAACCAAAAACATCCCACTTGAGTTAAAACTCCTATCTATCATTTCAACTTAAAAGTTAAATGTTTTGGTTGTATTGTGTTGTATGAACTAGATAATATATCAGTCTAGACAACATAATTGACCTGAACTTCATATAGAATTGTCTATACCCACGTTCTACGAAACCCACTATGCGAATGAAGAAGCTAAACCAATTCAGATAGTTTAGTAGCAAGACCAAATCATAATGTATATAAACCATGTTTATTCATACTACTCGCTTTCTTTCTGACTCAGACAAGGATAGGTAGACTGAGTCTTGAATAGGTACATGGTCTACTTACTTACTTCGTTTATAATTTTTCGCCTACCGTTCGATCTTGAGATGATGCAATGTAAACATATGCACATCCTATGTGTTTACACTCGTAGCCTATGAAAACAAAAAAAGGGCATCAACCTTTCATCTCTTTCATGCGTACATTACGTAGAGTTACAACTTTATTTGTCAGCTACTCATAAAGTAGTGAACAGAACACGGGTCGGGACAATCGAATGTATTTAACACAAATTCACAGGACTTGTTAATAAAATCTAACAATCATAAAGTAAATACGTAATTTGCAAAATGTCCATCAGTTGTCTCATAATGACTCAGACTTCATTGTTCTTGCATTTTCATACAAATTGCATTCTGTT